ATAATAATGTCGCGTGACCCGTCCCAAAATGGAATCGATAGCCGCAGCGATCCGACCATGTTATAGCAACCCCGAAACTGGTACCGCTCAACGCTAGAGAATTACACCCAAGTTATAACTAAAGTAATAATCAGTTGAATCGGGAAAAAATTACACGTGAATTTATAATTATCGGAAGTCCGTACAAACAGATGACATCATGGTGAATGAATAATTCCTAGTTAAAATCATCACAAATAAACGTCATTAAAATTGATAAAATAATAAGCAATCATTCATTCTCCTCTCTTTTATTATTTTTAATTATTTTCCTCCTTCTAAATTCTATTATCGAAAATAATGACTAATGAGGGCGACCCCGTTAAAATTAAATACCGAGGAAATTTAATAGAATAAGGAAACCGTTTTCTCTTCCCATCTAYTGTTTTCAAVTTTTTCTTCCATTTTTAATTTCGATATTAAGATTAAGGAAATTCGAGGTATCATTCCCGCACCAATAATGCAAGATAAAAGGGTCGTGCCAAGGCTTACTCCCGTATTCCCATCCYGCGGCTAGCTGCTTYGGGAATAGACTCGGAACAAKCGGAAGAGAGGTGGGGCACARCGTGGTAGAAGSGGTAACTCCCCTCGTTAATTTGAGGGTTACTCTCAGTGGTCAGCACACCCAAAATTGGGGGTGCTCTAGGTACCCTTAATTTTCCCCGTCAGGTCAAACAAGAATACCGTAAAAATACGGTCTAGTCATCGGGTCGAAGACTCAACACCGCTGACGTAGGGTGGCCCACTGCCTGTGGCCGCCCGACAGCTAGCCCGGACCTCTTCTCGACGCCCCCGTCGAGCCCTAGCAACTTACGTCAGACGAAGCGGACGAGCTTCAGGGTGATGGCCCGTAAAGGAAGCCCTCCTCGGCGTTCAATTGTCTTATGTTTCAGTTTGTTATGAGTCCTGGGGCTAAGAAGATGCTTCTTGACTCTCCTGTTTCTTCTGGTTTTTGGCCCCGACACGATCCTCTTTTTCTTCTGTCTTTGCCCCGAGAAGGGTGTCGACCCGCCAGTACGTCTAACGCAAACTCTCCGTCTAGCTCGCTTGAGCACGAATAACCATCTCTTTTCTCTTCCTAAAGCTAACCCTTTGACCTTTCTCTTCTCTATTCTTTTCTTTTTCTTGGAACTCTCCCCTGCCTCGAATTGCCTCAAGGAGGCTCCATCCTCCATCATGGCTTTCCCTTTCCCTTTCGGGCTGGTTAGCGATAAAGCGGGCGCGGGCCTGGGCCTAAACAGCTTTAACCTAGCGCCCGCCACTGRGTCCTTCCACTTAGATCCATCCAATTCTGCTATCATATATGCACCCCAGTCGAGTGCCTCAACCACTCTGTAAGGTCCCATCCATCTGTTGACGAGTTTTCCGGTCCAGGTTCTTTCGAGCGCTACATCGTAGAGAAGGACCATATCTCCTACGCTCACCCTCTCTTTCCCGATTCGCACGTTTTTATCCCATCTCTCTTTACCCTTGTCCCTTTCCACTACCAGACGATCTGCCGCTGTCATGAGGTCATCTTCCAAACTGTAGGCTATTTGCCTCGTTCGGGCAACTAAGAGTTCCTTTCTGGACATCTCCTCCGCCCAGTCGATGGTTGTCCAGCTGTCGACGTGAAACTCTATGGGAAGCGGACAATGTCGCCCAAACCACAAGGTGTACGGTGGGTATCCGGTACTAGCCCGGATCATGACGTTGTACGCCCATATTGCGTATCGAAAATATCGTGGTCAATCACTGTCCTTACCCTTGCACCACTTGGACAGTGACGCTATCAGAGTCTGGTGTCCCCTCTCTACTGGGGAGTTTGACTGTGGGTGATAGGCGGTGGCTATCGAAACTCTCGCACCGGCTCTTCTAAACACGCTCTGAACCTCGTAGGCTAGGAATTCCGCCCCTCTCCCATCACTATCTTGCTGACACAACCATACCTAGATAAGTACTCTAGGACAAAGTTCTTTACTTCCTTTGCCGCCTTACTCCTGATAGGTCTACCGTTTACGAACCCAGTGAAATCGTCTCGTATGTTCACGACGTAGTTCATATTGCCTACCCCTCTCGGCATTTTCACTAGATCAATGTGTACCTTCTCTCCTGGTCTGGTCGGATAGGATGGATGAAGTTCACGATGTATTTCACAAGAGCTCTTTCCTGGCACTCTTCGCATGTCATACAGTACCTCTCGACGTCCTTATACTGTCCATCCCACCAATACAGCCGGCGTATCTTTTCGTAGGTTCCTTTAACTCCTCTGTGTCCTCCGACTACCCCGTCGTGAAGTTCCGCAACTATCGTCTGTCTCTCCTCAGGATCACAGACTACTCGTAAGGGCATCCCCGACCCTACTGGCCTTCGGAAAAGGTGGCCCGCTCTAAGGCAGTACTGGGCTGCTTGCCTCCGGATATCTGAATCTTGACTCTCCTCTCCCGTCAGGTGTAGTTCGATCATTCGATACTTGCCCTCGTAAAGATTAACTAGAAATTTCTCGGCGCGCCTCGGCTCTGCCATTGTCAGAGCCCCAACTACTATTGGACGCTCGAGAGGGATGCGTGAAAGTCCATCTGCCACGACATTTTTAGTACCAGATATTCTCTCAACCGTGTAATCGCATAGCCGAATCCGTATTAACCATTGGGCGATGGTCGGGTCCGTCAGACTAAAGTCCTTCTGGAAGACAGAGGCAGCCGCGGTGGGGTCTACTCTCAAGATGAACCGTCGCCCATAGATATAGTGTCTGAACGTGTCTAGACACCGGAGAACAGCTAACACTTCCTTCTTGAATTGACTGTAGTTACGCTCAGCCGTATTAAGTGTCCTACTCTCAAATCTTAACGGTCTTTCCTTCCCTCCAGTGTCCTTCTGAGACAGCACATCACCCACTGAACATGATCCATCATCCGTGGATACTATGAAGGGTCTCTCGGTCTCATCGTCAAAGAATGGCACACCCAACACGCGTCCTCCTTCCTTAAATTCGTCTTTAAGTACTTGCATAGCAAGTTCCTGCGAAGAATTCCAATAGAAGTTTTCAGTCTTTCGAAGGAGTAACCTCAATGGCTCAGCCTTCTCCGCATAYCCCCGTATGAATATACGCCAGTAACCGACTACTCCTAGAAACTGTCGGACCTCGGTTGGGCTATGTAACGGTGAGGGTCAGTTCAGAAGTTTGTCTAACTTCGCCAAATCTGCTCGGCGTTCTCTCGAGTCACAGATAAAACCCAAGATCTTAATAGTCGAGACGACTCATCGGCTCTTTTTTCCGCTGACTGTTAAATTCGCATCGTCCAGCTGCTCGAGTACCGCGCAAATATCTGTTAGGTGCTGCTCGACGAATCTCCTAACTCCAGGTACAACCTCTGTCTCATCCCTGTCTACTGGCCCTTTTATAGGAAAGTCATCCAGAAAAACTTCAACCTTATCAGGGATGAAGTCCTTAAGGACAGTTACCATGGCTCTTTGAAAAACGGCTACCCCATTAGTCCAACCCATTGGGACAACCATCATTTGAATTAGTCTCAATGACGTATGCATAGCCGTGAGGTCCCTGTCCCTAGGGTCACGCGGTACCTCATCATAGCCTGAGAACAGATCACAGACCGAATAGATCGACCTACCTGCTGCGCCTTCTGCCAGTAAATCGGCGTGTGGCACGGAGCCCACGTCTCGTATCGTCATCGCGTTCACTTTCTGAAGGTCCTCGATCCATCGGATCTTGCCATTCGGCTTTCGTAGGAAGAACCATCGATTAGCATAAGCGCTATTAGACGGCTCCGCAACGTGGAAAACCATCTTTTCTTTCAGGAAAGCGATAATTTTTTCCTTCTCCTTCTGGGCGTATTTCCATCCGGCGTCATTCCAAGGAACATATGGAATCGTATAAATCCTCGCTGGCTTAGCGTATCGAGGGTCAATCCTACCGCGCTCCGTGTCGCTGAAAGCTATTGCCTTATCACATGTCTTCAGAATTTCTATCACACGTCCTCGCTCCTGTTGGGTTACATTTCCATCTCCGATGTCCATCCCTGCTATCCTCTCTTCTGTTAGGCGTTATGACTCCTTTTTCTTTCTTTCTTTGATTTCTTTCGCGATTTCTTCTTTTGATACCCCTTCCAGTGCCGATCGCTCGCGGCCCACCGCCGCTGGCTTAACTTTTTGAGCTACTCGCTTGTGTCGCTTGGGTAGCCCCCCATAGGGGGTCGTGCCCTTAAAAAAAACACGGATACCACACCGCCAAATTCCTCATCTTTTTCCTTTCGGTACGATTTGCCGTCCACTATTAGCCGACTTCCTAAATTTTCCACCTCCACGATCCGACCTTCTTCCTCTGTGAGCAGTGGTCCATATTTCTTCTCACGAAATCGCACCGCGTGGCTGGAGATAGGCAACGACTTAATCTGATCACTGGGTTTCGCACCCACAGCGAGAGCTGCTCTGTTCCTCGGGTCCCGAGGCTCCACTGTCTCAATCATTACCCGC